GATTCAACCTTTCCACTCCGCTGCCCACAAAAGACACGGAGGTCCGGATATATAAGGCTAAAAAAATCTGGCTCTCCAGTGCAAGTCGTATCACTCCTCAGGTAAGAACAGGGAGGCCACACCGGACAAGATATCGGCGACGGAGAACGGTACATTCGTTTACGGAGAAATTACAGGGGGATATATTACATAGAGTGTGTAAATATTGTTATTTTGCGTGGCGTGAGTTCGGCTCATTGCGTTGGATCTTCTCGACGGCGTGTGGCAGGGTGGCTTTGTTGTTATTTTTTTATATTTAGCGAAAATTATGCTGCGTATTTGATTAGTGTACACACATGCACATGCACACAAACACACATGTGATTACGCACACACACGTTACCTGTGAATACATACACACGTACACGTGCACACACACGTACACGTGAACACACACACATGTACACGTACACACACACGTACATGCGCGCACACACGTACACGTTCACATAAACACACGTACACATGCACACACAAGTACACGTACACGTTCACACACACACTCACACACGCACACGCACACACACACACACACACACACACACACACACGTGTGCACACACGCAATATACACGTACCCACTCATACATAATTTGTTTGTGTGTGTGTATATGCGTGTGCACGTGCGTGCCTGCATATACGTATATATACACCTGGCTCTTCAGTGTTCACTGAAACTTTCATTGAAAAGAGATTTAGTTATCCTCAAAATACATGAAACCAGGTAACTCCACTTCCGTTTAGCCTGTTGATGAATAATAAGATTTTATCAGGAGGATTCTGACGGCTGTTAATGTTAAGGAACTCTTAGTTATCATAAATAAAAGCGTTGTGACGTCATTTACACAAAGGCTCAATTTGTGTGATGTTTTATTTTAAGTATTATTGCAGTGCATATTCTTTGAAAATGGTTCTGTAATAACCGTGGTAAAAAGAATTATCAAAAAAAAAGAAAAAAAATAAGATATTTGATATTTGCAGTGAATAAAGATAATGAGACGGGGCTTAGCGTGGAAGTTGCCAACTACGATTTTTATCAAGAGTTTTTTTTTTCAATTGTCAGTGTTCATTAACAAACACAGTATTGTACAGTATAATCATTCTTATGTGATCATTATATCTATCGTTTGTAAATGATATGTAGTTTCTTTATGGGTTTATGTTCTAGTTCATATTTCTTTATCATCTTATTAGTCATTATCACTACAATAAATGCCTTTTCTTTAACCAGGTTATCAAAGCAATATATTTCTTTTTATCTAGATTATCACTGCAATATTATTCTTATCATCCAGACTGTCCCTGCAACATTTTTCTTCTATTTATCCAGATTATCAATTGAATATTTTTCTATCCAGATTATCACTGCTATATTTTCTTTTTATCCATATTATCATTGCAGTATTTTTATTATCCAGATTATCACTGCAATATTTTTCTTCTTATCCAGATTATCACTGCAATATTTTTCTTCTTATCCAGATTATCACTGCAATATTTTTCTTCTTATCCAGATTATCACTGCAATATTTTTCTTCTTATCCAGATTATCACTGCAATATCTCTCTTCTAATTATCCAGATAAGATGCTGGCAGTCATCATTCTCGGTGTCATCGGCGCTGCGGCAGCCCAGGACGATTTCTTCGAGACCTATGGCTACACGAAGGTAAAAGGTCAAAATGTTAATTCGTAGAAAGATTGAGGCTGATGTTTTTTTTATTTTTTTTTTATTTTTTTTTATTTTTAGTGAGCAGATGAATGCGGGTCCATTTTATTGACTGCTGCTGTTCTATATTCATGGTATGGTAATGATATGCTAATGGATAGGGTAGCCCCACACACACAGAATGACAGTGATACAGAGGTATCAGGCACATACACAAAGGCTCACACACATGCAATAAACTCACATATATAAATATAAACATAGAGACACACACACACACTCTCTCTCACACTCTTTCACACACACACACACACACACACACACACGCACACACTCTCCTTCACACGTGCCCTCATACACACACGTCTGTTATTTAGAGATGATAGAAGGATAGAGAGAAGAAGATAATAGAAAGAGAAAGCGAGATCGTAGAAAGAGAGAGCGAGATGATAGAAAGAGAGAGAGAGCAAGATGATAGAAGATAGAGATCGTAGAAAGATTGAGCGAGACGAGATGAAGGCAGAGAGAGCGAGATGATAGAAAGGGAGAGCGAGATTATTAAAAAATAGAACGAAATGATAAAAAGATAGAGAGAGCGAGATGATAGAAAGGCAGGGAGATCGAGAAGATAGAAAGATAGTGAGAGCGAGACGATAGAAAGGGCAAGATGATAGAAAGAGCGAGATCGTAGAAAGATTGAGCGAGACGATATAAAGGCAGAGAGAGCGAGATGATAGAAAGAGAGAGCGAGATGATAGGAAGAGAAAGCGAGATGATAGAAAGAGAGAGCGAGA